GCAGCACAGCCTTCTGGTGTGTCAGCCACTGGTCTCCTCCCAGCGTGGTATCATCAGCAAACTTGCTGACAGTGCACTCTATTCCCTCATCCAGGTCATTTATGAATATATTGAATAATACTGGTCCTAGTACTGACCCTTGAGGGACTCCACTAGACACAGGTCTCCAACTAGACTCTGCCCTATTGACCACCACTCTCTGGCTTCTTCCCACCAGCCAGTTAACAGTCCACCTCACTACCTGGTCATCCAGTCCACACTTCCTCAATTTGGCAGCGAGGATGCTGTGGGAGACCGTGTCAAATACTTTACTGAAGTCAAGGTAGATCACATCTACTGCTCTACCATCATCTAGCCACCTGGTTGTGTCTTCATAAAAGTCTAGAAGGTTGGTCAAGTATGACTTCCCCTTGGTGAAGCCATGTTGACTGCCCCTAATGACCCTTTTATCCTTGATATGCCTTGAGATGGCACCAAGGATAAGTCGTTCCATCACCTTCCCAGGGATGGAGGTGAGGCTGACCAGTCTGGAGTTACCTGGGTGCTCCTTCTTACCCTTTTTGAAGACTGGAGTGATATTTGCCTTCCTCCAGTCCTCAGGCACCTCTCCCGTTTCCCATGACTTAGCAAAGATGATGGAAAGTGGTCTAGCAATGACTTCAGCCAACTCCTTCAACACCCGCGGGTGCATCCCATCTGGGCCCATAGATTTATGTCCAGATTTATTCTTATCTCAGGTTTAAATACTTCATATATTTAAAATACAGTATGCTGAATTATAACGGTTGTAACTGATTAGAATTGACAAGAGGATATTGCAAAGTCCCATTGAATTTTCTGAATCTCATCCTTCATGATGAAACAAAATCACTGGGGTCATTAGGGTAAATCTCTTATTCTACAGAGCATGGATGACCGGTGTATCTGCAGATTAGTTTAGGGATTTAAAATGGTTTTAAAGTACATTCAAACAGTACACTCAAGAAAATTGAACTGAAATTTACTTCCTTGCTTTGGATACGTGGATGTCTAAGAAATCAGAAGAGATAAAAGAAGAGTGGAGTTCAGATCTCTGGTCCAAGGAAGTGGCCACACATTCCATTCAAACTTCTATTTCACATTTAACTATTTAAAAAAGTTTGTTATGGGCAATGCTGTCATGCTGCTAATCTGCCAACAGTTTCAAGATGGTTTTGCAGACTACTGAAAATGATAATTTCCAATGGCATTCTACTGAATTATATGTTGAATATATTTCTTGAAAAATATAATATATTCATTATTTGATAAAGTTAATGAAACTGATTTTGTCTTCTGTTGGAATTTTCCAGAATGTAATGCCATTATCTGCTGGCTTATTCAAAAGTGAACACAAAAACCCAATCTCTCAATGTCCTCCACGTCTCCATGTCCAATTTCTGACTCATGTACTTTGGAGCAGAGTGCCAAACCACTTCTTGAAGGTTGATGTCTCTCGGATCAGTGAACGACAAGGCTGGATGATACAGTGCCTGAATCCTTTGCAGTTCATGGCCCTTCATATTCCTGAAGAAAACAGGTTAATGTTTGTGTGTTGAAGTACATCAGAGCTAGGCTGGGTTTATGAAGCTAGACATGTAATAACATTTCTATAAGAAAAGCCAAAGGTCTTCTCCGTATTTACAACTCATGAAAATAAAGGCACTATATTTTGAATTAGCTAATATGAAAAACTAATGTTATTTTTCAATGTTTTAAACTCTGCCTCCTTTTGTTGTGTTTCCAGCCTCTCCTAGTTGCTATCCAAACTCTTTAATGGTACATACAGATTTTTATCTGAAAATGAAAGGAGCTCTGTTTATAGATTACTAAAGATAATCCATAAGATAGGCAAAGATCTTTTTTTGTATAGGTTTTTTTAAGGTTTGTGACCTATTTAATTATTCCATTACTTTAATTCTCCTAAATTGAGTTTAAACAATTGAAGAAATTTAACTTTATGATTTCCTTGTTACCCCAATGTCTTAGCATTTTGCTAGTGCCAAGACTGAAAATAAAATCAGAGAATTAGGTAAGAATTCTAAACAAACAACCCTGTCCCTGAACCCTCTGCAAATGAACTGGTTAGTCTGTTGCCATTTTGCAACCCCAAATCTAAACCCAATAAATGATAGAAATATATCGACCTTTACTGGTTTTAAAACCTTCATTTTCAATTATCCAAATATTTGTTTTTAGTATGAAGAAGTATTCTGGGTTAAGTAAATCATTTTGATCTCTCCCCACTGAAAGTAACTGAAGTTGTACTTTAGGAGTGATAAATACATTCCTGATTGAACTTTGTGCTTGATTCTTAGGTTGACAGTGTTTCTCACGTGAAAACTGAAATGTGGAAAAAGTCCATCCCTAGAACTGATATTGTGCCAATGTTATTCTTAGGGAGAATTTTGAATTCCTTCACTTAAGTTTTTTGCACTGATATGGAATTTAATGTATTGCTTTTTCTCTGCAGGACAATTGATATTTTAGAGCTGACAGAACAAGAAGAATTGCTGAAATTTCACTACCATACCCTTCGATTATATTCAGCTGTTTGTGCTTTAGGCAACAACCGAGTGGCCCATGCTATGTGCAGCCATGTGGATGAATCTCAGCTCCTGTATGCTATTGAGAATAAATATATGCCAGGATTATTACGTGCAGGATATTATGACTTACTCATTGACATCCATCTCAATACCTATGCAACTGCCAGGTTAATGATGAATAATGAATTTATAGTTCCAATGACAGATGAGACCAAGAGTATTACTTTGTTTCCTGATGAAAACAAAAAACATGGCCTCCCTGGTATAGGTCTTAGCACTTCATTAAGGCCAAGAATGCAGTTCTCTTCTCCGAGTTTTGTAAGCATTAGCAGTGAATGCTTTCAGTTCAGTCCTGAATTCCCTCTGGAAATCTTAAAGGCCAAAACCATAGACATGTTGACTGAAGCCGTTCAGGAGGGCAGCCTCCATGTCAGAGATCCAGTTGGAGGTTCTACAGAATTTCTGTTTGTCCCTCTCATCAAGCTCTTTTATACCCTCCTAATTATGGGAATCTTCCACAATGGGGATCTGAAACACATCTTGCAGTTGATTGAGCCCCGGGTTTTCAAAGAAGCAATGAGCCAGGATGATGAAATTGATTTCTCAGAGAAGGAGCTGAGTTCAGATGAGCTCAAGTCAGAAGAAGGAGATGAAGAAGCCAGAGGGGAGCAAGTGCCAAAGGAAGGACTCCTTCAGATGAAACTTCCAGAACCTGTTAAATTACAGGTAATAAGACTGCTATGATAGTGGTTGCTCCCATTTCTTCACAGAGCATTTTTTTCTTCACTTTGTAATTTCTCTTTCCAGGAATACAGCATTTTGATGTTAGTGAAACAGAGAATTTCCTTACAGTAAACAACAAGATTTAGTATCTTCCTGATGATATAATCTTGTTCTCCATAGATGAAACAACTGTTGTTTCATTAAAGAGAATTACTTTCTCAATTACATTAACAGAGAATTCTTCATTTTTATGGATCCAGACAGAAAATAAATTCCCTGGAAGCAAGGCGTAAATCCCTTCTTTTATAACTTTAATAAAGTCTTATATTTTATGTTTGAGGCACGTAAGTCTCCTGCGGATGCCAAATATTCCTGATATAGGATTACTTCACATGTGGTAAATGACAGCGTTAAAGATTTCAGTCACCTTATTTGATAGTAACTGCTGTAAGGAATCCATCCTTATTTGCATGATATACCGAAGATATTTCTTAGCTTGCTAAATCTTCTTTGTCTTATGATACTGTTTTCTCAGATGTGTCATCTACTCCAGTACCTGTGTGATTGCCAAGTACGACACCGAATAGAAGCCATTGTAGCATTTTCAGACGATTTTGTGGCCAAGCTTCAAGAGAATCAACGCTTCCGGTACAATGAAGTGATGCAGGCCTTGAATATGTCTGCTGCCCTGACAGCTAGAAAGACAAAAGAGTTTCGATCTCCACCTCAGGAACAGGTACAGATCACTATTTATTTTTTCTTTATTGTGCTCTGTGTGTGGCAGAGTTCTGTTTGATTTCAAAGTTTTTCATTTTGGAAATCAGTATCATTTGTCTTTCCTTTGTATTATTTAAGATTAACATGCTGCTGAACTTTAAAGATGATAAAAATGATTGTCCTTGCCCTGAAGAAATTCGGGATCAACTCTTGGATTTCCATGAAGACCTAATGACACATTGTGGTGAGTCTCGTTACTGAACACTTAGCAGACAGCATGAACACACCAGCAGCTGGACTTTCACATCATTTTCCATGAGCTAGAAAAAGCTAATACAGAAATGTGTAATAATATTTTTTAAAGTAATACTCTCGTCAGAGAAGGATTTTTGGGCATGAGGATCTCTGCATTTTTCCTCCTGAATTGCATTCCTTACTGATCACAGTTTAACAAAAATAATGTTTATCATTATTTAATTCACTACTTTAAAGTATTAAAATAAATAAAAGCATGCCATCAAAATCTGACTTCATAATACATTAATTTTCTTTCTTGGTAGAGCAAGAGCAGTTGATACCCACGTGTATCACAAGACAATTTGTTTAGATTCATTCATCTCAAAGATATTTCTGCTACTAAAATAATGACAGGTTTATTAAGGTATCAAATATCCTGGAAGGTCTCTACTGCAGCCTCCTACTCAAAGCATAGTCAATGCTGAACTCAGATGTGGTTGCTCAGCAATTTTTACTCTTGGGTCTTGGAAGCTTCTAAGTACAGAGATTCTACAATGTCTTTGAGCCATATGTCACAGGGCTTGAGTGTCCTAATGGTGATTTTTTCTTTTTTCCTTATGCCAGTTTGGAACCATGCCTATTTTAGTTTGGCAAGTATATCTTACTCAGGTCAGAAAAGAGCATGGCTGCATTTTCTTGCTAACTTCCTTGTAGGATTTTTTTTTTACTGCTATTAGGTCCACTGTAAAGCTTCTGTTCTGCAGGTTGACATAAACAGTTGCTTCATCCTTTCCTTATAGGACAAGCAGTCCATCCACCAGTTATCTTGATTGTTGGATGCTCTCCAGCTTTTCAATATTTGTCTTGTATTGGGTAACCCAAACCTGGATGTAGTATTCCAGAAGTCATCTTAGGAGTGCTGAGTACTGGGGAATAATCATTGCCTTGATCTAATGATTATGTTTCAGCTAATACAGGGTATTTTTAGCTTTCCTTGCTGTTAGAGTGCATTTCTGACTGGTGTCTAGCTTGCTGTCCAGTAAGACCCCCAAAGTTCTTTTTGCAAAGGTGTTTTTTTAACCAGTTCATGCACAGCCTGTGTTGTCACATGGGGTTGGTCTGTCCAAGTTGCAAAACTTTGCATTTGTCTTTGCTTAACTTGGAGTGTCCTGTCAGGCTATTCCTCTACCCTGTTGATCTTCTTGCCCTTGAGTGTGTTTTCTGCCCTACCACCCTCGCTTAGTATCATCCACAAACTGTTAATTAGTTTGGTTGAAGAGACTGCCATCCAAACCATTTTGTAGAATGATTTAGTAAAATATGAAGGTACTGATGATCCTTTTTTATTTTAGTGTCAATTACCCTCTTAGGACAAAAAATAACAAAATAACATTGAATGGAAATGGATCTATACTTAATGCAAAAAAATCAGACAATTAAAACCAGATGCAATAAATTGAGATGAATGTTGTTCTGTCATGAAGAAACATCCTATGAAATTCAAGACTGCTGAAGAACTCCCCACAAAGCCCTTAACTTTAGGACTTATGTTGAAAACTAAAAAAAAACCAGAAAAAAAAATGTTGAATGACCTTTTAACCTTAATCTTGTTTTAGTGTGAGTAGTAGGTATAGGTTAAGATTTTTAATTCCTTTACAATGTATGTATGAATGAATAAAGTTGAAATAATGAGTGAAATGAGATGATGGGAATCCCATGAAGTTCAGCAATGGGAATTGCAAAGTCCTGCACCTCAGGAACAATAACCCTATGCAGCAAGGACAGGCTAGGGACTGAACTGGAAAGTAGCTGGAAATTAGCTTTGTGGAAAATAACTTGGAGATCTTGGTGGACAACAAGGTGAGCATAAGCAGCAATGGGCCCTTGTGGCAAAGAAAGCCAACATCTGAGCTCCCAAGTACAAGAGAGACGTGGGTACACTAGAGTGAGTCCAGGGAGGGGCCATCAAAGTTGACTAAATTCTTGGAGCATCTTTTGTATGAGGAGAGACTGAGAGGGATGGGGTTTTTTAACTTGAAGAGAAGGCTCATCAAGGGATTGTATCATTATGTATAAATACATGTTGGGCAGGAGGAGTAAAGAAGGCTGAGCCAGACTTTCCGCAGTGGTGCCTAGTGACACAGCACAAGAGACAATGGGCACAAATTGAAATACAGGAATTTTTTTTTTTTTTTTTTGAACTGTGGGGATGATGGAGCTTAAGAACAGGTTGGCCATAGAGGTTGTAGAGTCTCCACCTTAGGAGATATTCAAAACCTGACTGGACGTGATCCTCAGTAACCTGCTGTAGTTCAGCCTGCTTTGAGCAGGGACACTGAACTAGATGATCTCTAAAGACTCATTCCAACCTCAGCTGTTGTGTGGTTCTGTAAAGCCTCATATGCATTATTTTACAGTTTTATAGCTTCTTATAGGAATATAATGAAATAGCCACTGTATTATGAAGATGGCTACTTGTGACTGGTCACTAGAAAGTATTTTTATTGTAACTTTAGTTCTTTCATTTCTCTGATGTGCTTTACCTAAAAATCTCCTAGTCTTTACTAACTTCAATTGAACCACACTGTGGTCAGTAAGGGACTATGTCTACACTTCTGAGCTACATACGTCCAAAACACAGACTTCAGCATTAGCATGGAAACATGCATACTGTGGCAGTTGACCACAGAAATATATTTACTATGTATTTTATGTATAATAACACATAATTTATACATTAAATTAATAAGGTTATATGATCCTTATCTGCAGTTTTCACCTTTGCACATATACCTGTTCTATACTTGTTCCAAACTACTGGTTAGCTGTATCCCATATCAAACTCTTTTGTAGTTCTAAAAGAACAGAACAACATAGTTGAGTTTGATTATGTTTTTACATACAAGATAAAAAACATGTCTGTAAGTTGTTTAATGTTATTCTTTTACTATTTACTGTGTATTTTTTATTTCAGGAATTGAACTAGATGAAGAAGGAACCTTGGATGGAAACAATGATTTAACCATTAGGGGTCGCCTCCTATACCTTATGGAAAAAGTTACATATCTGAAGAAGAAGCAAGCTGAGAAGCCAGTCGATGATGATGCTAAGACATCCTGTAAGCAAAATTAAATCAGTTTATTGTATCCTGATTCCAAATGACAAAAGAAGCAAGAGTTCTTAATATATTTTCATCCGAAACTAGGTGGATTTTTAGTGAAACATCCATGCATGTTAAAGTTTGTAGCTCTGACTCAAAATGACCTCAAATGGAATTTTTATGATAGGCAGATTTGTTTTCTGTATTTTAATTTTAAATATAGGCTTTTGGTTTTGAGACGCTGCTTCTCTTACATGAGTTTATTTTCCTTTGATAGTCTGCTAAAGAAATACCAAGAAAAAGGTGTTTCTTAAGAATTGAATTCATTCCAATTCATGTTGCGTAATTGGTTCTGAGGGACTACCAGTAGAGAGATGAGCAATTGATAGTAATTTTGTGATTTATGTATTTCCTTCACAGCTACTCTTCAGCAATTGATTTCAGACACAATGGTACGCTGGGCCCAGGAATCAGTGATAGAAGACCCGGAGTTAGTGAGGGCCATGTTTGTATTGCTACATCGCCAATATGATGGTATTGGTGGCCTGGTTCGAGCTCTACCAAAGACCTATACCATAAATAGTGTGTCTGTGGAAGACACAATCAATCTTCTAGCATCCCTCGGACAAATCCGTTCCTTGCTTAGTGTCAGAATGGGGAAGGAGGAAGAGAAACTTATGATTCGTGGATTAGGGTAAATAACTGGATTGTAACATCTTTTTTATTTACAGATATTTGTTGTTATTTGCTGTATGGTTATGGCCAACGTTATACGTGAAGTTTGAATGTGAATAGTCTATATGGGTATAAATGCAGACACTGATATCAGTTAAGTGGTATCTTCAGCTGTAAGATAAGAGCCTTTGCAGGATTATATGCATAATTTTTGGAGAGAAGCAATTGATATCTCTAAGACTTCTGTGTGAGAAAAGTTGAAAACACATATGTAATGTTTTATGATATTACAAAATGTATCTTGTTACCATATTTATAGTAGTATGGCTGTGAAGTATCTTATCAAGAATTCATTTTATATGGATGCGGTGACTGGTAGCTGTTGACAAATACAATTCCCCCCAGCAGTCAGCTAATGGACTCGTGTCTACATGTCTGTACATATGCCATCTTTTTATTGCACTGAATGTAGTTGGTGCTATTTGAACTATGACGTAGTTCACCCAGTCTTATTTTTCCTAATTATATAATTCATAATAATGAAATATAGCCTAATAAGAGTAGGCAAAGGGGATAGTCTGTCACCTGTCAAGAGACACAAAATACTGGTATTTCTAAACCCACCTTTATACTTCAAAATTGGGTTATTGTATTTCGCTTAAGGTAACAAAGTCTAAAATGAGTGAGAGATTGTGAGATTCTGGCATTGTTGTGCCTTGGGGGAAAAAAAACCCAAACTATCTCAGAGAGGTTTTCATTTCATATTCTGCTTTCTTTTTGTTCTTTTACATATTTTTTTTTTCCTCAACATGCTCTGCTACCAATTAAAAACAAAGATTTTGTGGATCTGATTTAATTTTAACAATGTTTTTGATGATATGTGAAAGTCTGGTGTAAGGAAGAAAGAGTACTTTCTGTTAAGATAGTGTTCTCACTGCCTGTTCCTAACACCCTTCTTGGTAGCCTCTCTGATAGTCTTGGTTGTCTTCTAGATTACCTAGCTGTGCCATTTGTACTTTTTATAACCTAACCTGGGCACCAGCACCTATTTAGAAATGTGGGGTTTTTGCTGAGTGGAAAGTATTCCTTTCTTCCAGCTGAGAAATCAAACTGTCACTCCATTCTCCTTAAAAACTTCAGTTTCCTTAGAAATGCTGTTAAGATTTTTTTCTAAGTGTGACATTTCATAATGCAGTCCACAGTTAAACAGAATACTGAAAGTGGATGTACTTTCCAAAGTAGTGTAATGTTACTGGCCAGCCCTTGAGGTGACATTTTGATGTTCTTTACTGTATTTCTGTAAAAGAAAGCTGCTATAGACAAATAAGAATTTGAAATAACTTGGCAGATTGATACCATCAAGGTATTTTTCCACAGCATGAAGCTTTAGTGCAGAAAGGAGATGTGATATAGATGAGGCAGGGCCTGTCCTCTGGCATCTCTAATACAGAGTGTGGTTGTAGGCTTTAGGGGAAAATTATCAGTTAATCTTTCTGGGAGTTACTCGGAGTCAAAAACTCTAACAGTGCCACCTATGTCAGACATACTGTGTGCATTCTGTTGCATGACTGATGGTTGTGGATTTGTAGCTTTTAAAGTGATGGAATGTCCTCTTCACATCTCATCTTTCATAAGGCTGAAATTTCTCTTGCCTGATTGCAGGAGTTTTAGGTCAGAAAAAAAAAAAAGACCACCATAAAACGTACAATGAAATTTGAACAGTTGTCAACAGTATTTTCTGTAGTAACTTGCTAGTCCTTTTCTCACATGACCTGATTGCTTTCACATTTGTGTTGTGTGTGATTTCAAGACTAATTACAGTTTTTAGAAATTTAATTACTTTTTAAACCAGATGTTTTTTATTGGACATAATGTTTGCATAAAATATTGACATTATAATTTTCATTACTTATTTTAAAGTATGTAAATCTCTTCAGATGAAGTATGTAGGAGAGAAAATTTCTTTTGAGCAGTAACTTATGAACTAAGGTAAATATTTATGCATCTCCTAATTCTGATGCCTAGAGGATAGCTGGATACACATTGTCTTTTCCCTATAGTGGTTTTTTTTTTTTGTTTTGATGGCAAATGTCAAATGTCTCAAGGTTTAAATATTCTTTTCAGAATGATTTGTCAAAAATATTGATTAGTTGAATTTAAAATTTAAGCTAATACAACAGATTGGATCATGCTCTTGTAAGAAAATATTTTTAGATCTGGAATGGATTTCTAATGAAAATAGAAGAACATTCTTCTCTGGTGAAATCAAGTGGTGGTTAGGGCAATAATTATAACATGGGAAAAGAAAAGTCAGGTTCTTCCACAATGTGTCTAGAAAAGCAGACTATCAGTAGAGATTAAGATGCAACCTGAAAAAGCCCCTGAGGTAATTTTTCACAAGTAGTGAAGAATTGCACAGTAAATCAGCTTTGCAAATAACATGATAGGTAAACTCTTGTTCCATAGCATTTTAATCCAATTTTTTATTTTATTTTTCTGTAGAGACATCATGAATAATAAAGTATTTTACCAACATCCAAATCTCATGAGAGCTTTAGGCATGCATGAAACTGTCATGGAAGTGATGGTAAATGTGCTTGGTGGAGGAGAATCCAAGGTAAAGCAATTCACTGTTAGAAGACACAGAGTTTAGAATAGAGCTGTTCAAAGCTTTATCCTGTAAGGTGCTGAGCAGTCGCTGGAGGTACTGAGATGGTAACTTCTTACTAATTTCCATTAGCACAAGAGTGGACTAAGTGTTTTGAAGAATCTATCCTTCCATTCTGGAAATTTCAGATACTTTAAAGAAGAAAAACTGCAAATCGCATTTTATGTGCTTACTGGGTTTTAAAGGGGAGATCTTTAAGAAAATTATTAAAAATTGATGCAGTATTACTCTATGAATCTGAGCATTTACATTCTTTCATGTTTCAATCTAGAATTTATGTGTGAACCCAGCTCTTGTTTTTCAAGCTTATACCTTGACATTTGGGGCTTAAGGAGTTACTTGCTGACAAAGCCCTGTTGATTCCAGGATGAAACTTAAACAGTTAAATTCACTGAGATGCAATGAATACAATACATAAATATTAGTGTGTTGACAGTCTGCTATGTAAAGGATCTTTTGCAAGTTTTAGATCTTAGCATGTCTTAGAGTTTGAGCTTCAGTCTGGTTTTTATTTCTTCTTAGGAAATCACTTTCCCAAAGATGGTGGCAAACTGCTGTCGTTTTCTATGTTATTTTTGCCGCATTAGCAGACAGAATCAAAAAGCTATGTTTGATCATCTTAGCTATTTACTGGAAAACAGCAGTGTTGGCCTTGGTAAGTAGTAAGTGTGTGTCTTTTGACATTCTAAACCAAAACCTAAATCTTAAAACTTTCTGATTGAGAGAGAGATGTATGTATGTATATATATAACAACCTATGTTTTTCTGCATCCCTGTTTGTACCCTGTGATTGTGTTGAAGTTTCTCCTTTACCCGGTGCAAAAATATCTTCATTACCTGTGTCGTTAACTCCAAACAAGCCCTGACAGTAGCATTAAGTTGAGGGAATTTAGTATACACTTTTTTGTATTTGCCTAGATATTAAGAGAGAGTTGGTGTTTAGCTGCACATTTTAAGGAATGTAATAAAATCCCTATTTTGATGAAGAGAATTGTAGATAAGTGTTGGGAACATTTAATTAGGGCTTCCTTCTCACTGCTCAAGCTTGCTTCCCTGTGCTTTCTCCTGTAGACTGTTCAGTATACACCTATGGCAGTGAGAGAAATACAGAGCTCATTTGCTTGGGTATACATGTAGAGATGCCCAGAAATGAACATTGAAATTTTCTTAAAATGTTACCCTTCTTTTCTAGGCTGAAGTGTTATAGAGGAGATACATCTGTCCTTTATTTATTTTAGTACTGGTAATTCAGAATATATAAATATACAGTTATTTAGAATCATCATAGCAATTTTTTTAAATGATCACAAATTACTTATTAGTGTATAGGTACAGGACAGAAACATAAACTAAAAATATTTTTTGAGAGAAAGTGTCCAAATCAAATGCATTTGGAGCATTAATGTGAAAACCTTTGCTTTTTCTAATGCTGTAACAACTGCCATTTTTTAAAGAAATAGATAACATATAATCTTATATTTAAAAGCTTAAAGGTATTTTCTATTTTAATACATTTGATAAAATGTCAGTGTTTTAAATCTAAAATTACTGCTACCTTTTCCTCAAAGTGAAAATTAGGAAAATTAGAAAGAGTAATATCTTAAAATGAAGTATGTGATGCGAATAGCAAGGTGTAAGAAAAGTTGTTTCTAGCTTGAACATCTACACTATATATTGATTTAATATCAATGTCAAATTTCATGAAAGTGCATGATGAGTATTTTAAACTGAGTGGTATAAATGATATGCTTATAATCATGTGCTAACTAATGACAAAATGTTGAGTTTTTTTTTTTTGTTGTTAATTTATTTCCTATGAATTGGTTGTTTTTTAAATTGGCATTGAAACTACATGTTATTTTAACAGCCTCTCCTTCTATGCGAGGATCAACTCCTTTAGATGTTGCAGCAGCCTCTGTGATGGATAACAATGAACTTGCACTAGCTTTAAGGGAGCCTGATTTAGAAAAGGTTGGTAGCTTCTTTATCAAGCATTTTCTTTCCCTGTAGAGAGGGGAAGATACCTGTTTCCTGGAGTAATCAAAATCCAAGATTATATGGGAGTTCTAGATACCTTTCAGAGGAAGACTATCAGGATCTGATTGTTTGTTCTTTCTGCGAATGATCTGGATAGTTAAACCAATTTTGTGGTTATTGCATACACAGATGTAACAAAAAGGAATTGCCTCAAGGGCAGCTCTTACTTTGGCAATAGTGGTGTCCAACAGATCTTCATTGCTAAAATCTTTATTGGTCTGTCTTGATGGTGAGTGATATGGAATGGTGATATTATGCAATAGGGGTTAGTAGAAGTCTTGTGACAACTTTTTATGATACATGACAAATTTTCATAGAGATATCTATCTGTATTTTTTCCTAGCATCTAAACCTGCTTCAGGAAAGATTGAAGGAATTTGGATTAGTTAGACTAAAGAATAAAAAACTCGAGAGCATGTGAAAATTGGATAGAGTATGTAAATTGCTGCTGCAAGAAGGAAAATAGTGGTTACTGTGTTAGTGGTGGATAAGAAAAACATTTTACATAATTGAAAGACAGATTCAAGATAAACATTAAAAATGCTTTCTAATGGAAAGTATGACAGTAGAATACATTGTCCAATTTGTTCTTGAAGACCTCTGATTCTGGAGATGCTATAATCTTCATAGGAAAGCATCTGTTAGGAGTAATATAAGTGTAAATGATCCTTTCTTGGAACAGAAAGATGGACCATGTGTGTTTAAAAGGACATTTTCAGATTTACTATTGTTATAAATGGTCATCAAAAAGAAGCTGTCTGAACTGGTTAAAGGTTATGCTTACAATTCTTAGAACTCAGAAAGGAGAGGGCCAACTGAAAACTACTACTGAGACTCTAGGTCTGAATTACAGAGGGTATTACTGCTGTGAATTTAAAAAGAAAGGAAGAAAAAAGGCAAGTGAAAAGGAAAAGTTAAAATAAAAGAGTAGACCTGTGAGTTATACTAGAAGACATGTTTTTCAAATATGTATAGTGTGTAGTTGGGGAATATTACAAAATTAACTAATTTGTAACGCTCAGGATTGCAAGAGAAATGAGATATAGATAGCAAAGCAGTGATTTAGAGAGAGGAAAAATGAAGTTGATATAAGTAAGGTCTAGCAGTTCACGGTAGAAGTAGGAAAAGACTGGGAAAGTTAACTAAGAAAGAGGCTGCTCTTCTGATTTGCCCAAAATATGATGCAGTTCTTTCAGGGATAATAGAATGTGGACACTATATCCAAAGTAATGTCTGAGGATGCTTCAATTTGAAACTGCACTTATCTTCTTTTTCACAGTTAATATCTTTTTCATCTTACCTCACTTTTAGGTGGTTCGCTACTTGGCTGGATGTGGATTGCAGAGTTGTCCTTTGCTGATTTCTAAAGGGTATCCAGACATTGGATGGAATCCAGTTGAAGGAGAGCGATATCTGGATTTTCTTCGTTTTGCTGTTTTTTGCAATGGTAGAGTAGGAGCCTTTAATTTTTATAACTTCCTCTAATGTTCAGATAAGTTTTAATTTAAAATATTAATACAAGCCAACATGATAAGTTCGTGAATTTAACAGACAATTTGCAGAAAGAGTAGAATTATGCAAGTCACACAGTAACTTAGATGTCTATTTCACAAGTTGTATAGGGTCCTATGAGACTGTTCCACATTTTTTAGATCCATCTTTAGTCTCTGAAATGTCCACATCTCCTTTGGAAGTAAAGCAGAATGTCCTAAATCTTTTTATGATAAAAGTCATGCTAGACATAAAGCCAAACCCCCATCTTTTGATGAAGATTTAGTTAGTCAAATTTCAGTGTTTAGCAGCTATATTGGTCCCCTCATTAACTCTCTCACTTGACTGTGAGTCTTTACTAAAAATCAGTAGCTTCAGTGATGATTTAAGCATCCGTTATTATGTAGTTACTACTTTGGCTCTGTTTAATTTTGAATTAAATCACGTTTTATTTCATAGTTTTTATAACAATAATAGAGGAGTAAGTTTGCATGTTTATATAGTTTTTTCATGATATTTAAACTGTTTTGTGGTTAAAAGTATCTACTGATGCATGCATTCTGCACTTCTATGTACCTTTTTCTGGTTATATTTCAGAAGTTTTTTTGTTATAATTTTAAATTTTCATATTTGTCCCATGTGGTAGGAGAGAGTGTGGAGGAGAACGCTAATGTTGTAGTCAGACTGCTTATCCGTCGACCTGAATGTTTTGGTCCAGCTCTAAGAGGAGAAGGAGGCAATGGGTTACTTGCTGCCATGGAGGAAGCAATACAAATATCAGAAGATTCAACAAGAGATGGACCTTCCCCAAGTAATGGATCTGGTAAAACCCTGTAGGTGCAGTGAAATTGTTTACATTGCCATCATTTTTGTTTTTTTCTTTTATAATCAAAGAATGGCTTGGGTTGGATAGGTCCTTTAAAGGTCATCTAGTCCACCTCCCCTGCAGTGAACAAGGACATCTTCAACTAGATCAGGTTGCTCAGAGCCCTGTCCAGCCTGACCTTGAATGTTTCCAGGGATGGTGCATCTGCCACCTCTCTGGGCAACCTGTTCCAGTGTTTCACCACCCTCATTGTAAAAAATTTCCTCCTTACATCTAATTGAAATCTACCCTAATTTATTTTAAAACCACTACCCCTTGTTCCATCTCTACAGGCCCTTCTATAATCTTAGTCATGAAATGACTTGTTGGTTTTAAAATGTGAACTATTAGCTGTATTCTTCCTTGGACTGTATGGAGTGTAGAGATTTGTCTTCTGCCAAATAGTGCTTCCTCTGCACTGTTAATTTAAGTAACTCTCTCTAAATATTAAATCCTTTTTAGAATTCTGTTTTTTTCTTTGTCAGTCAGTTAAGAGTCAATCCCCTGATGCAAAATGAGACACTTAAATGGTAACAATGCAGATGTCACTACAATCTTTTAGGGTCAAATTCCATTCTGTGTTAGTATGATGAAAGTCCACTAGTTAACAGGAAGCCACTATGCATAAGCTGTTACACCTATGAGCAGATTTTCTTTATTTTTGCTGATATAAAACCTTTATTGTAGTTTTTTCATCTTTTAATTATTTTAACATTTAACTAATAACAGGGAAATGGAAGAACAAGAAGATGATACTATTCACATGGGAAATGCAATCATGACCTTTTATGCTGCTTTGATTGATCTTTTAGGACGGTGTGCTCCTGAAATGCATGTAAGTTATGTCTTCATACGTTGGATAGTAAAGGCATAGTTGTTTTACTGATCTTCAGTGATTAACTGTTTGGCTTTTTCACAGTAGCAAGTTATCAGGTATTAAAGCAGTGATATGGCTACATAGTATCTTAATGTACATAATGTGTTCATCTGCTAATTTGCAAGGAATTCCTGTAAACTATTCAGAAGCTGGTCTTTTAAAATTAATTATTCCATAGCTTTTCTTATTACCATTCCCTGTGATTGATCTTCAACAACATTCTGTCATGTATATTGTTTGATTGTCCATTGTGACAATCAAACTCCTCAAATGTCCCTATTTATTGTAATGATGTAGAGTGATTTTTTTTTTACTCTCTTCATATACTTATTTAAACAGACTGTTTAAATTGCATATAAAAAAGTAAATATTATAGGGCATTCTTTTAGAATGTAGGAATAAGCATTGTTTCTGCATGTACACATTGATATCTCATAATCTTTATTCACACTGAAAAGCCCTCTCAAAGGTAAGATGTCACCATTTCAGGCATTAGATACGAAGAATGAGACACTCTATAAAAACCAAGCCCTTACCACTTAGTTCCTAAGACCTTGAAACTACGTGAAAGTATTTGTTGTTTACGATTCAAAATACCTTCCTGTTCTTCAGAAATTCTACGTAGTTACACATAGTTTCTAATTTCACCCTGAAATGTGGCCTAATTCATATAGATCAGTATCAGATTTGTGCAGAGATCAATAACTTGAGAAAGGAGGGAGATATCCATATAATATGGATGAAGGTCAGTGTATGAATATCTGTTTTGTTTGAATTTTAAAAAGTCTTGTTTTCTCCCTGTCTTGCAGGCTTTTGTAAAACAAACCCAAAACAATTGGGATACCAGAAACTTGTTATTTGGGAAGAACAGAAAAACTGGCATTTTTTAATCTGAAATTCGGCTTTCGCTTCCGCCCTTCTCTGCCCCTTATGTGCTACATTTTAATGCTTTGTTCACCTGTTTTACCTAACACTTAATTCTGAAAATAGGCTTAGTCTTATTTAATAATCAAACATCGAGGTTTCTAGATTTTGCACATTTACATCCAAAATGCAGCAAATAAATACAGATTGCATTGAATTTACATTATTAATTATAGTGTGATTTTGAGAGCAGTCATTCTTGTGTATCTGTGGTTCAGGAAGTTTCCAGAACATGAACACATATAGAAGATAAAGAGAATACCATGTTAATTTTTTATTTCCCCTTTCCTTAGCTAATCCATGCTGGTAAAGGGGAAGCCATTAGAATCAGATCAATTCTACGGTCTTTGATTCCACTGGAAGATTTGGTGGGAGTAATTAGCATTCCTTTCCACATGCCAACCATAGCTAAAGGTAAAATTATTATTCTACTTTTGTTTTCCTCCCATCCCATTCTTAGGTTTTGTAATTTAAGGATATATTGATACTCATACTTCTCTCAGTATTTAAAAGTGTTATAGAAATTAAACTATTTATTATGTAAATTAGAAGAGCAATCACATATTTCAGAAGTATTTCGAAAATTTTGTGCATGCTGTAGGCAATAATTCTGTGTACACTTAAATCACTGATGTAAATCCCATTCATTTAAATTGAATCATGAAAATCTATTACACCTTTAAAAAGAAATTTAAAAATGCATACATTCTATTTTTCTAAAATATTTTTTAAAATTACAGTCTCTTTTCTCGATATCATAATCCTTAGCTTTTTGCTGTTATAACCCTATCAATTGTTTCTAGCAGATCTTACTAAGACACCAGAGTTGTTCTTCAGCAACTATGGTGAAGTTATAGGTGTGACATACATATCCAAATGTATTTTGTTGTGTTTTCTGCCTACATAGAATTGATTGCAATAGCGAGAGCTATGTGAGCATCAATATAAAAGGGAAAGGAATTAGAAATGCTTTTTTGGGTATCTGGAGAGAGAGCATTCTAATTGCAACATGGATTGGCTAGGGACTTACGGCACAAGAATGCCCAAGAGGTTACAGTAGAAGAGAAAAGATCTATCATTCTATTACACCATTATTTATTTATATTCCAAATAGTGATAGATCTATAGATGATATCTCAGTAGCATAGAGCACTGCTCATAGATACAGAATTGCTTATCCACTTTTGAAAACAAAAGTATCAAATTTTTAAAATATTTCAGTAAATTCATTTCAGATATTTCAGAAGGTTTCAGATACAGAGGACAATCTTAATTCATTGCTATACAGATATGCTCACCAGTGATGCATTTCTGGGGTGTTGTATAATTGTTTTATATTTTAAAAATTATATTATAAAAATTATATTTTTTACTTTCTGTCTGCTGCTTCTAAGTAGGTAGTTCTGTAAATGAATTAGTAAGTTTTGAGTACTTAACATATTAGAATATCAACTGATAAGAATTCCTTAATACACAAAACAGGAACAGAAAAGCTTGTATGGACTTGAAGGTTTGTCTGGGTAAAAATTGCCTTATGCATTCTTTTTCAGTTAACTACAAATATGTTGCCTTTGTGTAACAAAACCGTGGGGAAGATGCTTCAATATTAGCAGAGATTCAGAACCTCTGACAAATAGTTGCATGACTGCCTATTCTACTGGTGAAGGATGATCCTTGTCATTGAAGTCTTATTTCTTCCTTTTAGATGGTACTGTGGTGGAACCTGACATGTCTGCGGGGTTTTGCCCAGATCACAAGGCAGCCATGGTTTTGTTCCTTGACAGGGTCTATGGAATTGAGGACCAGGATTTTCTTCTACACCTTCTTGAAGTTGGCTTTCTGCCAGATCTTCGTGCTGCTGCTTCTTTAGATACAGTAAGTGTTCGAGTCTGTTGTTAATTAGTTCTGTCATTTTACTGAACAGTGCAGCATTTTTCGTCCCGCAGAAAACATTTTTTGTTTCTTCATGTTTTCTTCTGCTTTTCTCAAATGCCGGATGAGTTGCCTGTTGCTGCTGAGCTGTGAGAATACGTGAAGAACAGTCAAGAAACATTCTCCAGAATGATGCTCTCTATTTTATAAAGATCCTCCATTGATACTTGTATCTATAAGATATGCAATGCCTTTCCCCAGGAGACTTTCTGAACTTGTGCTATGAAATCAAAATCAGATAAGCTGCCAATGAAGCATGCAACTGAGAGACTATTTCCAGAGATATACAGAAAGTGTTCACATCTATGCATTTGTTAGAGACATCTACATTGTTATTTAGGAAATCACTAAATTTTTGTTTTAGTTCCCCCTCAAAATTGCTGCTTTTTTTTTTTTTTTTTTTTTGAGTCTTATTTCCATCTTGTTTTTCTTAGCTGGCTTGATCCAGAAAGATCAGATTTAGAGAGCTTATATGAGGGCTAAGACATCGACTTTGATTTCCCTATTGATCTTTTATGTCAATGTTTTTCTGAAAATAATTATGTTATTTAAGAAAGAGCAGGTGAGGATTTTTTCCTCACTTGGAACTTGGGTTTGATCGCAACACAGAAACATACTGAGTTTTGAAAATGCAGACTTGACTGGTATCATCTGATTTTGGAGTGTTCTGTTAAGTAACTATGACATTTTTTAATATAGTGTTGAAATTTTCTTTGGTTTTGAATGTCTAACTTTACTGTTTATTTTTTCTTTCATTAAAACCAAACCAAAACAAAAGCCTTCTCTGAGACTTTAGAAGCAGGAAAGAAACCTAGGCTTCCAGCTTCCAGTAGCTATCAGCTCCACATTTTTGTGTTTTGGAAATTACCCTCTTTGTAACTACTACAAAAGAAAAACAAACAAGAAGTTCTTTTAATTTGTAACAACTTTGATGAGACAAATCTAATTTCTGTCCCATTTAATTCATAGGCTGCTTTGAGTGCTACAGATATGGCTTTGGCTCTGAATCGATACCTTTGCACAGCAGTCTTGCCTCTGTTGACCAGATGTGCTCCTCTTTTTGCTGGCACAGAGCACTATGCTTCCCTCATCGATTCCTTATTGCATACTGTGTACAGACTCTCAAAGGGATGCTCTCTTACCAAAGCTCAGCGAGATTCTATTGAAGAGTGTTTGCTGTCTATCTGTGGGTAAGAAAATACTCCTGCCTGTACAGGAATGATAAGTGATAAAGTAACCTATGATATTTATAATACAGAATGCAGAACTATGCCACCAGTAGTATAATTAAGATTTGTTTTCTGGCAGATGATTGTGATATTTTAAAATACATTGTATTCAATTTGCAACTTTATTAATTACTCATGCAGTCCTCAGTTTTTTTGATATTACCAAGATTTTAAAATTAAAACCTTGGTGATTAACTAAGAGGGAGTACTGCAAAAAGACAAAGCTCTGGAAATGTGGAATGGTGCATACACTGAAGTGTTATTTAAATACTTTTAGCTATACAGGTTGGCAGTATGGTTAATGCTCAGTAGATGATACAGTTCTGTGGAGACGTTTAGTTATTTTGTGTTACATTTCAAATCCTAATCAATGACTTTAACAATACCATTTCAATACCTAATCAATGGTATTGTTGCACCTCATTATTGAAATCTATGGGACAAATTTTGTCTCGGTATCTACAGTCTCAAAACCAACTGATTATTATTCAATTTTTTATAAGCCTACAGGCTCAATTATCAGAAGTTGACTAGGTGCTTAGGAATTCAATTTCTAACTAAAGTTGTCAACAGTTAGGATTTCAAGTAACCAGAGGGGTTTTTTAATATTTCACCATATTTTTTTTTTTGCATAATGTGGAAATGTGTCAGCTATGACATTGATATTATAGTACTGTATAGCATTTCTTTTTAAAATGTATCACATTGGCCATTTTATACATATATTACCTTGATAAGAACCAATAAAATGGACCAGTATTTGCTACTTATCTGGAAAGGTTTAACGTCCATACCATTCTAACATACATGCTATACCTATTTTTTCTGTCCTTCCGTGGTGCCCACTGCTGCATGTCTTGTTTAGTACATCTGAAGTGTTAGTGCTGTTATGTCTTTGTTAGTTTCTAGGATATTTTTAAAAGCCATTGAGATATATTGCAAGAAATTAATGTTATAGCCTTTTCTCATAGGTGTACTGGTCAGAATACATGATAGCAGAATGCAGGGGGTTTTTCTGATTTTCTCTGTCTATAGGTTAGATTTTTTCTCTACTTCTTTAAAGCATTTGATGTTCAGCTTGTTCGGAGTGTTTTCTTTGGTATGTACTTGTTTGCTTTCTTTTGGACACATTTTTTTTAGTGCCACAACCAAAATCATATTACTTAATGAATATGAAGAGTTTTAAAGGCATAAAACTGATAGGTTGCTTTAATATATTTATTAATTATTTACATGAAACGATGTTGGTACACCCTTTTGAAATGATTTGTCTGCTTTTAGGCAGTTGCGACCTTCCATGATGCAGCATTTGCTGAGAAGATTAGTATTTGATGTTCCTCTATTAAATGAACATGCAAAGATGCCTCTCAAGGTAAAAGTATCTTTTAATATTCAACAGCATTCCTTGTAACGAAATGCAAAAGAAAATACTTGCATGGAGAGTATTCTCTACTTTCTTTGTTACCTTGTTTCCACTGTGCAATAATCTAAGACCTGCTTTGGCAGGAATTCAGTCTAATTTACATCCATCCATACGGAATTGTGAAGTCCGTGTCTAATGTTTGCTTCTCCTTTAATGATCTCTGTTATTTTTTTAATCCTAGATGAAAACAGTAAAAAAAACACTGGAAGCAGAATCCAGTGCACAAAGTAAGATAGCAGCTGATATCCTGGATGTAGCTTACTTCTGTCCACTATGTTGGTTTTCCCCATTCCTGGAAAACAAACTATTTTTCTGTAGTTTGCGCTTGGAAATCTAACTAATACATGTTTTTCAGTAATCTTCCATTTTGTTTTCAGCCCCCAAAGGTTTCTCTATCCTTGGATTCTGATTCCTAATACACAAGAAAAACGTGCTTTACCCTTTCTGAGATCACATATTCCTTAAAGATTCCTCAGATTTCATCAGCAGTTCTAAGAAACATATCATTTCCCATCTTACCTAATGCTTCCCCACCACAACTTTGAACAAGATATTTCATCTTTTCTTATTTAATATTTCTTTATGCTTTAAAGGCACATATCAGGATTAATTGCATTTTACATCTGATTTATTTGTGAAAACACTCCTGAGAATTACACAAACTTCTACTAGATTATGGTCTCTGATCTCAGATGCGGAATTTAAATCATTAGTCTCAAAGCCAGGACTTGCTGCATGGTCTTTCCCTTGCCAAGGACTTAGTAATTTGGTTGTCCCCCCAAGGAAGCACTCAATCAAACTAAAAACGCCAGAGCTGCCATTCTTTAGTGCCTATATGTGAGAAAAGCAGTTGAAAATTTAGTATAGTGCCCTGAAGGAGACCTTTCTAATTCATTATGACATTTTATATGCTGCAAAAACCAAATAGTAACTTGGTGCTCCCTGTGTGCCTATGGTTCTTCAGGGGCTTTTTGAGGGGAAGAACAACCCCAGCTCCCTGAGATCTGTTCATCTAGGATATCGGGTTTTTTGATCCTGAGCATCATGACTGCATTAACTTTCCCATATTGCTGAACTGAACAGGAAGGAAATAATTAAACCCTTTTGGCAAGTCAGGCTTCAGGATAATATAGATATAAAAAGAACCATTGTGTTAGCATGGGCAAATGATTTTGTCCATTGGCACCTGGACAAGTAATAGGAGCTTCTGAGGAAAGTGAACTCTTTGAAGATAGAACTAGAACTTTTCAAAAGTTTCACTGACAGTAAACTGATTTTTCAGTGATTTAACAAGAAACTCCTACTTATATCTATGAATGTGTTTCTGATTTGAAAGTACCATGCATATTCCTTATGGGTTTGTGCTAGCAAACAGGTTGTAGTAGCCCAAAGAGACAGCTACAAGTTAATCATGCATCTGAAAATGTAGTTTTGAATAGGAAGACAGGAGGAAATCATGAAGGCTAAATCAGAATCGAGTGTGATCTACTGTGAATACCTTTACTGATTTCTACAATTAAAAATTACCTCAGTTTAGGCAGAATGTGAATTGAGATTTGTGATGCTTTTCCTGTGTAATTTTGTGTGAACTTTCTGGAATAAGGCTGCCTTGTTTTTATTTCCTCTTAAATCCTATTCTGTAAGAGTAAACCTGCCTTCACTCTTGCTTAGATTGAAAGATTTATATGTATATATTAGCACTCACATGTTGTCCAAAAGCAAACCTGAAGTTTGGCCACTGTATAATAGAATTTGATTGGAAAAAACCATTTTCAAATACATCTTAGACTCTTATTTCTGAGACCCCTGTGGTTCTATATGAATGATAAAACTGTCTTTTTACATTATTGTGGTGGTTTAACCAACAGTAGGATCCTGTGGTCCTGCACTCACTCCCCCCACCTGGTGAGACAGAATGGGAGTCACAACAAAGGGGGCACGGATTAGGATGGAGGACAGGGAGGGCTCACTCACTAGTTATGGTCACAGGCAAAACAGATTCAACTTGGGGAAGAAAAATTAATTTAATTTGTTGCTATTCATCTGAGTAGCACAGTGAGACATAACAACCATAGAAACTTCTTTACAGTGAGGGTGACAGAGCACTGGAACAGGCTACCCAGGGAGGTTGTGGAGTCTCCTTCTCTGGAGACATTCAGGTCCTACCTGGACACCTTTCTATGTGATCTCATTTAGGTTCCTGCTCCGGCAGGGGGATTGGACTAGATGATCTTTCGAGGTCCCTTCCAATCCCTAACTTTCTGTGATTCTGTGAAACAACAGCTTCCCCCACCCCTCCCATCTTCCTGCGCTCAAATCACTTTACTCCCGATTTCTCTCCCTTCTCCCTGACAGCGGCACAGGGGACAGGGAATGGGGGTTGCAGTAAGTTCACCATTGCTGCTCTTCCCGGCATGAAAGTCCAGGAACAAAGTGTTCCAATGTGAGCTTCCCGTGGAGTCACAGAGCTCTTTGGACACAGCTCTCAGCTCTGGCATGGGGACATCCACAGACTGCAGACAGGTCTCCGGTGCAGCGCAAAACCTCACCCCCCAGCTCTGAGGGTCCACCCCAGCTCTGGCATTGAGCGACTCTTGGGGTCTCAATTTCAGTCCTTGGGCTCAGCTTTTCTGCTCCAGTGTGGAGTTCTCCATAGCCTACACGTGTATCTGCTCCACCACTGAACCTCCATGGGCTGCAGGAAACCTCCTTTGCCTTCTCTTGCTCCATGCAGTTGAACCAGGTGTCTGAGGTTCTCTGTCCTCTCCCTCCTCCTCCTCCTTCCTCCTGGCAACAAAGCTCTCTCTTTGTTTAGGCTGATGGTCCTCTTTTGTTCAAGTTTCTCTCCACCTTCTTCCTTTCAAGACAGTCCTTCCCATCACAAATACGGATTCACAGAGTCTTTCTCTATTGCTAATTGGCTCAGCCTGGGCTGAGTGGGGTACGCCTTGGAGTCAGGGGAGCTTTTATGAAGCTTCTCACAAGGTGGCCCTTGCCCCGCTACCAAAAACGCACTCCCCCACTGCCAACCCAACACAATGATATATGCATGTAAGTTCTTATCTCCTTTTTTTAAAAAATAATCTGACAATTTAAAGAGTAATTAAATAATAATAGGTTATTTAAATCTGAAGATACACAAATGCATTATATAGATTGGTGTTTTTTTGTGATGCATGATAATTTTTCCTTTTCTTGTCTGTGACTCAGGAACGTAGAGGACACATTAAGCATAAAATTTGTGATGTTTTGGTTTGGCAAATACCCAGTAGCAGGTCCTTGCACCATTTGAGTCCCTGATAATCTGAAATCTTGTAACAATGTAAGAAGAAAGTATCCCTGAGATATGTATTTAATGAAAGAGAGGGAGACAGGATAAAGCTCTTCTGCTAATTGTAATAGAGGACAGGAGAGTAGACTGATATCAGGTTTTACAACTCACAGGAGAGATGAGTCACACTGGGAGTTATTGTTGAATAGCTCTGACATGTAAATAATAATTGGGAACTAGGTGAAGTCATGGTTCTACTATATTATCCACCAAGCAGCAGTGTTTGGAATAGCGGCACACAGATGGAAGTGTATTCTTGTCTTCAGTTGAGCTGTCAGAGTACTTGTGGTGTTGGCCGTTACATGCTTTTTGCCTATGCCACTGACGTTACAAGAAAGAACTACTCATTCTCTGTGTATATCCACCAGTGATTTAAAGAATAGATACACAACATGGCTTCTTGATAAAAGTTACAAATTTTTCTGTCAGTGTCTGTGTAATGGTCAAGTGTCAGAATGGAAGAAGAGCATTAACAGTTATATTTGATTTGCTTTCAAAATATGTTCTGTTTTAGTTGCTGACAAATCATTATGAAAGATGCTGGAAGTATTATTGTTTACCGGGTGGATGGGGTAACTTTGGTGCTGCCTCAGAAGAAGAACTTCATTTATCCAGAAAGTTGTTCTGGGGTATTTTTGATGCTTTGTCTCAAAAGGTAATACATTTTAATATCCATCTACTACTCTAAAAGCCTTACTTGGTAACATTTTTTCTTTAATCTGTCATTTTTACCCAGCTTTTATGAACACTCTATTATCCACTTCAGAGGGAAAAATATAGTGAATTTAAATCTTACCATTAAAGCTTCTCTTTTAACAGAGGTATACCATTTTGTCTACTCATTAAAAAAAATTACATAGCTAATGAAGTAATATTGAGGTGTATCTGTACAGGTCAACTACACTTCAGAGCCCTAAAAGCAAATTCAAGCATCTGCAGGTGACTAAAAGCTACACCTTTTCTACCTCATACACTATCCTCCCTTAAACCAAGAACATAGTTCTTTGCTTAGTAGTTGTATTTTCATCACCCTTGACTCAATCCTATGTTGGACAAAATTTTTATTATACATCTTGATTATACATATTTATTGCTCATTCTGTCCAGAACCAACCTGCTTAAAATTTCATGAGTTTCATTTCAAATCTAGGTATTTAGAAATGCTATGCATATTCCTGCACTATGTTCTCTTCCCAGACATCTAAAAATGCCTAATGTTGCTCCCAGTGAAGTAAATACTTTTACCATTTACATTTGCAAGAGCACGACTTGATCCTAGCTTTATCTATAGCATATAATATGCTTTAGACAGTCACTTTTCTTTACTTTCAGAACAAAAATTCAATTTCACACTGAATAAGAAAGCCATTCTGTGGCTGCTTGGTTTCCCATATAGTTGTATCAGTTTCAGCAGTGATGTTGATAGCTTCCATTCACTATTCACTTTCTATCCCATGTTCCACAGAAGTATGAACAAGAACTGTTCAAATTGGCTTTGCCTTGTTTGAGCGCAGTTGCAGGGGCCTTACCTCCAGACTATATGGAATCAAATTATGTCAATATGATGGAAAAACAGTCTTCGATGGATTCAGATGGGAACTTTAATCCTCAACCTGTTGATACATCAAAGTAAGGAATTATTTCATTGCAACTAGAATTTTTTATCATGAATGTGTAAAAGAGAGATGGAGTCTGTTGTTGGGTATGATGTGGATTTACCACTTTTATTCTGTTCTGACACTTACCTTCTAGATAAAATGGAGACTTTAACTTTATATTTTTATTGTTTATTTATGTATTTATTTTAAATCATATAAAGCAGTAAATATCCAATTACATGCCCAATTTCTTAGTCAGCCTAGAATTTTTTTAATGCATTTGCAGCCTGCAGATAGAACTGTCCAGTTAGCTTTGTATGTCTGCTGCAAATAAACCTGCATGTTTCAGGAGCAGAGAAAGTAGACTAGTCTACATCATTCCCATCATTATTAACATGTGCCAAGACACTAATTCCAGTGTGTGTGAATGATAGTGTACCTACAGAAAATGGTGATGATCACCAATTCATCTAATCTTTTTTAAAATATGAATAATGGGGAACTGAGCAGAAAGATCTTAATTCTTTCTAGGAAGTCAGACTCTGACCATGCTTTTTAAATTACACTAGCCACATGAAACATCTGAATGGATTTTTTTCGCCCTGATTTTTGACTACAGCCAGTGCCCCATTCTCTTTTTTTAGAGCAGTGTCATTATGCATTAGATCTTGAAAAATGTCAATTATAAGACATTTGTTTCAATTGCCTTTGTGTGCCTTCTGTCTGTATTAACATTCAGAACACAGAATGACATCAGTAGACTGATGCCTTTGCACAGAATGCCAATACTTGTATGCACATTGAAATATGGTATTAAAAGCCATAATCTAAACTAGAATATAGAAATCCATCAATGGCCATTAAAATTCATTTGTCTGAGATGTATTTAAGATATATGAACATTTAACAAAATTTGGTAACGATATTATACTAGCATTTAACTAATCAAAGATGACTTTATCTGGTGTTATTTCAGAAGAAAATTGTAGATAGTCAGAATATATTTTAAAAACTCAGAAAATGCTACTTAACATTACCTGAATCTTCAGTCATCTCATTGCCACAGGAGTTGACAATTCTGTGATGATTTAATACAATGAAAGCACTACTTTTATCAGTGTCACTTCCAACCTATCCTATATTCTTTTAACAATGAAATCCTGCATCTCATTACTTACTAGTCCTAGACCTATTTATATGAAGCTATAGATAATATGACCTTATTTTACTTGTAAATTTGTTGCATTTCTGAAATTATTCAAAGTACTATAACATTAGTAGAGTTCCTCTCGAAAAACACGTTTACAAACAATAAAAAAACACAGATGACCATGCTAAATATTTTGTGGCCGTTATGTACAGTTAGTCTCTTAAAAACTGTTACTCTGACATAATTTTGCATTACTTTTCTGCTTTTTTTCACTCTATGACTGAAGATTAAAAACCAGTCTCCTACTTTGCAGTAGGTGGCACTGTAACACTGTTGCTGCTGAAATTCTTTGTTTTAGGAGGGAAGCTTTTGCTATTTCATAAGTGATCAAGAAGCAATTAATTGCCTTTCATTTGTAGGAATACATATACAGAAAAATAATTATATTTGGTAAATTATTTTTGAAAGAGGATTCTGTCTCTAATGCTTGTTTGGCAGTTAAGGATAGCTGCTTTTCCGTTACTGTTAACAAACCTTCTGCACTGTCTTGTACACCTGTTGAAGGGCTAGTGTATTTATTTGTGGTTTTTTTCTATTTTTAATAAGGATTTAAATACTTTTAATGTTCACTTGGGTTGTTGGAAAAGAAAGCCTTGAGCTATAACTTTTGAGATGTCATAAGTTATGGTGCTTCAAGCATATGATAAATCTTATAGGGATATAGATGTGTTTCAAAAAGGACTGTTAGAACTCTTAGTTTCTAATGGACATGTGCAATAAGTGACCACCATATTTCTGAAACTGTGGGTCATATTTATATCTTTAATCTTAAGAAAATGAATGTTAGGAATAGAAATATCTGACAAAAAGCATGAGTGCTTGGTATCATTATTGATTTTTCCCTGCACATATGTGTGTTGACGAAGTAAAATTCCTACGACAGCTGTGGTTCTCATTCAGTGCCCATTAAATAACTCAGATTTTTTTCTTGATTTAACTGGGAATTGGAGAAAACTGTATGCAAGGAAATAGAGCACAGTAAGATGTTCTGAGTGGATGTATGTGCTACTAATTATTTGAAAGTTTTCTTAAAAAAAAAAGCACTCACATTTTAGCATGTGTGATATAATGGCTATTTTTCTCTTCACTTTCAGCATTACAATCCCTGAGAAGCTAGAATATTTTATTAACAAATATGCAGAACACTCTCATGACAAATGGTCAATGGAAAAGGTAAAATCTATATTCCTGTTAAAGCAAAATCAGAATTTTTATTGGAGTCCATTTAATCTTTAAAGTATTTTACTCTGGATATTATTATTTTTCATAATGCTACAAGTTGTTACGTAAGTAAGATATAAACCTATATTTTCGTGAAATGCATTTTGGGGAAAAATTCTGTAACTGCACATGAGTATTTCAAAATAGTGTTTCATTATTTTTGTTGTTGAATTTTTACTAAATATACTCGCTAATTGTTTAAGAGTTTTATTTACTTGAAATTTCAATTTTTAAACCAAAAAACTTCTTTAGGGTTTTTATTCCCTTGTGCTCTTAGTGTGGCCAGTATTAAAAATAGTTTCTCAACTGTAGCACAGTATTCTGCTCTATATAAATATTAAAAAAGGTATTGACATGTTAGCTAATGACATGTTAGTAATCATTAATTTTCAAAAAGATGGCATGCTATATGATTAATTTCATTATGTGTAGACAATATTGATGCTGGTTGAGAAAATAGTAGAAAGGAAATTTTAGGAGAAGAGCCCTGCAGAAGCAATGTTCGGTTCCTTTGTACCAGTAGAAATAGGATTTTTCATAATTTTTTTGCTTTTCCACATTTTTTCTCCCTTACTATTACTGTTTTCAGTTTGCCAACGGATGGACATATGGTGAAACATATTCTGAATCTGCAAAAGTGCAACCATTAATGAAACAATATAAATTACTATCTGAAAAGGTAAGTAGTTTGTTCATTCTTGATCCAAGGTGATTGAAAGATTGCTTCATTCACTGCAAAAATATCACCTTGTGTTTACATCACTTAAAAAAAATAAATATTTTGATTTTGAGTACATCAGCTAATGTGTGATTGTTGCCTTCCTTAAAAACTCAGAAAGAGACAGAAGGGTTTTATTATACAATAAATAGGCCACTCAACCTATTTTCTCTCATAGTTAAATTTACATGGCATAACTTATGGTGAAACTGAAGTGTTATATTGCCAGTATATTTTTACAGTAAGGTCATTCAGGA